GAGTAGATTCTCGCCCCAAGACAACATTCCAATCAATACACCAAGTGTTGCCAGGAAAGATATCCCATGGCCCCCAATCACCGAGGAAGAGATATTTCGCCCGTGCTGTCAGGTCTCGTCTACAACCCTAGGACCTGACAAAATAACCCCGAATTCTCTACGTCAAACATGGCCAATAATTGGCAATAGGGTGTCAGCTCTCTTCCACCGGTGTGAAAAGCTAGGAATACACCCGCTAGCCTTTAAGAAGTCAACAGTGATTATCCTTCCGAAATCAGGAAACCGAGATCTCACCCTCCCGAAGTCTTACAGACCGATCTCTCTACTTTCGTGCCTTGGTAAAGGCTTCGAGAGACTGATAGCAGGGCGACTTTCATACATAGCTCTGAAATATTGGGTACTTGCCAAAGACCAATGCAGTGCCATCCCTCTTCGCTCCGCTTCTGACATTACCAGAGCTCTCCCTTGTGATATTCAGGCAAAATGGGCGGAAAAGAAAGCAGCTGGTTTAGTGACTGTTGATGTCCAAGGGGCATTTAATGGTATCCAGAAAGGACGACTCTGCCATAGACTTCGAATCCAAGGATAGCCACCGAGCGTGGTTCGCTGGGTGGCATCTTTCATGGAAGAGCGGGAATCCACAATCTCTATTGAAGATACTATCTCTCCTCCCTTCCAAACTTGTGGAAACTCGAGGGACAAAAGACGATTGGCGAGTGGTTAAAAGCTGGCGTGGACTCAAATCATAAGATTCTAAACTAAAGAGAAAAGTATCTAGGAGGATATGAATCTATATATGTACATAGGAGGTTCAACTATTGAAATAATGTTGCCAACACGAAACCTCCTGTCCCTCATTGCCTACAACCCAAGGGTTTTGCATGAAAACCAATATCCATGACAAACCTTTCGTATTGTGATTAGTCACAAACAAGACTCGTGTGTGTGAAACTAGTCGTTGGAATTCCTGGATTGACCCTGTGTCAGCTTACCAACTATTGGACCGACGACCACGTGGCCACTAGAATGTCGGGGCGTCACAAAACTCACTATGGTCTCCCACAGGGCTCACCTGTATCCCCAATTCTTTTTCTTCTTGCTATGGAAGAGGCACTACGTCTTTCCACTGGCCGCTTTGGCTATGCAGATGATATTGCCCTCTTTGCGTCTGCGCCCTCCCTTGTCGAGTGTGCACGCAAACTCCAGGAGAAATTAGACAGCACCATAGCATGGGGACTTACTAACGGAATTAGTTTCGAACTTCCTAAGACTGAGCTGAAATACTTTCACCGGAAGCGAGGCTTACCACTAGAGCCTACTCTTAGTATTGGAGAGACAACTATAACGCCCAATGACCACACTCGCTAGCTTGGAATATTTTTCGACCGTGCTCTTCGGTTCCAATCTCATACTATACAGGCTTGCCGGAAGTCTCTAGCTATCACCAGCCATATGAAAAGACTGTCCACAACCACTCGAGGAATAAGCCCTCTTTTTCTAAGACAAGCTCTACAAGGTGCTACCTTTGCGACCCTTTTCTACGGGGCCGAGACTTGGTGCTCTAAACAGACTTCCCAAAAAATGATCTTGCAAGTCCAACATAGGATGAACGACGTGGCACGGGCAGCTCACCCAGTCTACCGTACCACACCAATAGCAGCACTTCTAAGTGAAGCTGGCTGGGGCCCAGCTCAGACGTGGCTGAACAGAATTGACAGCCGTCTAGCGGTTCGAATTGCTGCAGCTGACCCCTATCATCCTCTTCATAGGCGATGGAACACTTGTCGCATGCGCTGAATCCGCCAAGGAATCTCGCCAAAACTTTCCGAGGACATTATTCCTCCACCATGGTTGGCACCCCGCGAAGAATAGCTAATCAAAATCTTAGCAGTAGGTAGACTCCTGGGACCAAATCCCTTCAAACAGTGGCAGGCTACACGACCTACCCTACACTTGTTCGTATTCTCAGACGGAGCTCTAATAGAAGACCGAGCAGGTGCGAGCTATGTCATCTACCGAGGTCTTACTCAAGAGATTGGACGAAGATCACTCCTGCTCGGAAATTCGGCAGAAGTGTATGATGCAGAAATTGCCGGGGCCACTGAAGGTCTTGCCGCAGCTCTTCGCAACCCACTGGCCTATTATGCCTCTAACGTCACTGTCTGCCTCGACAACCAGGAGGCTGCCGTCCATCTGCTCATGGATACGCCCACAGCGTCCAGCACGGTGAAAATATTAATCTTTCGCAAGCTCGCAATGAACTGGAAAAGAAGATCACGCGGTCAAAATACGACGCCTGGGAAAGTGGCTATCCGATGGTGCCCAGGCCACGCAGGTATTCTCGAGAACGAAGCAGCCGACGCGCTTGCCAGAGCTGCCTGTGCAGTTCCAGCTCCAGCTCCACACTTAGAACTCTCCATTGCGAGGGCAAGGAGAGAAGTCAAAGCCCAATACGAGGCTTTAGTCGCACTATATTGGGCAGAAAATGCTCCTTCTAGGTACAAAGAACTAGGAATTGGCCCTAATACGAAAATCACCGTTGAGCTCGCCCGTCTGGGGCGACGTGCATTAGAATATCTACTAGCTTCACGGTCCGGTCATGGCGACTTCGCTGACTACCACCGACGGTTTCAGTATGAAAACGCCATTCTAACCTGCACATGCGGAGAAGAGAATTCCCTTAACCTCTTTTTCTATTGCCACCTCGGGCAACACCAAGCTCAGCTCCACAGGGCACAGAACTCTAATCCCAGCGTATCCTGGGCATTTGCTTCGGCGGAGGGAGTTGATACATTCAATAATTGGGTGCGTGTCACAGATTTCTTCGAAAGGGCACAACGAACAGTCTGATTCGAACGAAATCACGATCTGATGTAAACAATCTTCTCCTTTTATTTTTTATTTTGTTCTGTAAAATCTTTTCTTGATTCAGTACCAACTGCATAGCACTAGATTCGGTGGACGGACGACCTTTGTGTACACTGTAATCTTTAAGCGCAGTATGATAAGATGCTGGATTTCATTTGCTTTGCTGGGTTTGTGCAGGCGCCAACACGTCGGGTAGATTCTATATAGACTGGGCTGACCGGTACGTGAAAAGCTCAGGTGCTGTACGCGGGCACGACGTTAAATATTTGAACTTGATTTCATTATCCTGATTTGGCGCCCTATGGGCCCATGCAGGTGTCTACAGTCTTTAATATTTACCCTGGAGGATACCTTTATGGTGAAAACCTCCCACACCTTTCTACTTGTTGTCTTTAGTTCTCACATATTTTCTTCAGGAAGCGCAGTTACACTATAGTGCCATCCATGTAAACCAACCAGATCATCTCTATCCGCCCCAAGCACTATTTGACCTTTTCCTTTCCCTCAGCAGTATTTCGACCGCTTTTGTCATCTGGAATTGCTCTATTCAACCATGGTTTAAGATCCACTGTGTTATCCTTTTTATATCTCCAGGATTTTTTATCATCGCTTCGTAGGATCGATCTTTGGCTTGCCTCCAGATCTCAGCTCTACCATTTGACCATCAGGGGCAGGACGTAATCATATGCTTGGGGTTCTGTGATTGGTAGCCGCATGGACAGCCTGGACTAAATAGTCCGGGCATGTTTCTTCTGTGTAAATACGAGTTCAACCCCATATGCTCACTTCGTATTTGCATTGCCAAACTGCTTTGGGCCCATGTCAGGACGTTAAATATTATAAATAAATAAATACAGGTAATTAAGATACAAGAACGTCGTATAATCCACCTCGTCAGCAGTAAAGCGATTAGTTATACTCTAGGAAAAACGGAACTGGAGCTTTCTCCCGTCTCATACGACAACTCTACGTTACTAGGACAGACCTAGAACTCAACTCATTACTTGACCAACCAACAACTGTGCTATACCCTTAGGTTAGTTTTGGGCAGAGGATAATGTTGATCGAGATATATTCTCTGGCAATTAAGTAATCTATTTGGGATTGTATCATCCCTAGATGTTGGAAATATCGCGCAATGTAATGGGCGCAATATTCATGGAACGATAGTAGAAGTTGACTAAAAGAGTGTCATGTTCGGATTACGGCTAAAAGTGTGGGAAGTGTGCGCTACAAGTACAAGTGTAAGCGACACAGAGCCTAAGCCACAGCATGAACGAGTGTGGCGCCATCTAGGCATAGAAAACCCCCAATAACCTCCTTGCGCCCACGCCATACAGCCGCTCATGTATCCAATAGGTAGCCTGAAACGCTACCATATTAACTATTCCAACCTCTTACATACACACAAGATCGTGTCGGGAACCTAGACGAAATGGAGGGCCCATACGTCCACAACACTCCGTGTCTCCATTTCCAACACTTGACCTCTTCTGTGCTCCGCTTCTCCGACTTTCACTGACCAAACTCTTTATTTCTAATAGCGATTAGTAGTGAGGTATTGCTTCCCGACTCGACACACCAGCTGCCATTAATCCCGTTTGTTTATGGCGATGGTGGAGCACATGCTGGCATCCACTTTTGACGCAGCCTTCACCTGGTTAAAATGCTTACCGTTATATTCCCTTGGATTTCAGGTATCCCAAATCGCTGTCAACAATGACTGTGATATACTTGGTGATAGGCAAGACTGGATTATACAGTTTCGAGCGTGACGGAAAGCGGGTTGGTGATGATTGTGTCGATTTATTAAACTCTATGAAGAGGAAAGAGAACTCTTGCTGCAGCCGACAGCTACTTGTAACAATTGATCTGCTTCGTAAATCTACAAACTTATGGCTATCCTCCACATATCATACTAACTAGCCACTTATTGTCTGTTGTAACAGCGATGCAGCGTCCTGACCAGTACAATCATTTCGTCCAGCTCCATCCTTCTCTCTCCAATCAGGCTCTTCGTGAACGCTAAAAGTACAAGGCTTAGGTATCTACCCAAGCTCATACAACAGTCAAACCACAATAGGCTGTAAATATGTAAAGCAATCGAATCTCTGGTCGGCAAGTTGTGCTGGTCAGCGAAGCGCTCCAACTTTGCATAACGTGTAGTATGGTTCTGTCGACTGTTCATAATTGCCCGATCGATTGTGCGGTGTTGTTTTAAGTAACATAGCAGTAGCGCGATTGCGGCCGTCCACCACTACATAATAGTCAAATCTCAAGTCGTAAGTTCCAAGGTTTTGGTCTGAGGTTGTGTGTTAGCTGTGCTACTCCACCGCAGAAAAGTGTTTATACTTACATGATGTCAAATTGGCGAGTAGGTAAAAAGATAAGTTAGTGGTATGACGATCTGCATACCTGAAAGGAATCCCATTGGTATGCTCGTTCTCGTGTACCTCCAATTTATCCATATATATTTGGTACAAACTCCCGTAAGCTGTCATGCCCGCTGCATCCTCTGTTAAACCTCGTTGATGTGGAAATTGATTGAATTTAAAAGTGACTTCGTCACAAATAAATGATTTCTTTCGCTCATTAATGTGATTTACAGTGGCCCCAGCTTCAGTTGTGAAGAAGATGCTTGCGCTTTGGAGAATAATGGCTATGCTGGAAAAGCGCATTGTGAGCGGAATAGTCGCAAGTGAAATCTGTTGGTTGACGAATGATGGGAACTCCCTGAAGCCTAAGTAAAGGTTGATATATGTACCTGACTGGATTATCTTTCGGGACCATCTTTTCGCTGAACTTTGAAGCTAATTTATCTCATCATCTCCCGGGCCCGGGTGGGTAGAGCTGCTTCATCTTATCGATGCCACTCCGTCCTCCAGGTCCTTCAAGAAGCCTTGGCCGTGCCAAAATCAAATTAAACTGCCGAAGATTTCTTACGCTTTACATCAATTTCCATTGCAAATGGCTAGGGGTATTAGATGAAATTCGATTGTTGATCCGGAGTCGTGGCCGACACAGGATCTTTTATCCTTCACCTTCTATTCTCTACGCCCCCCTCATATCCAGTGCCGGTAATCACTGAATGTTTAGTGTTGGTAAAGCCGGCAAAGACCAATTCTTCACCTTCCAGTAGTGGCGGTGTAATCGCTCAGTATGCTCTGCATATCTGGGATAGTCAAGAAAAATCGCATCCGAATCTAAGTCGAAAGCAACCTCAAGCACATATCCATGTAACGACTTCTAGACAATGCCTCTCTTACCATATTCATCTGAGTCCTTAATCTCTCTCTAACCACGCATCACCTCGCCTCGACGACCAATAAAGAAATTACTGTTAAATTAAATAACTGTTGGTCAAACATAATTACTCTTGCACCTGTACATAATGAAGTTATGGTTGTGACTATTGTTTACTTAAGACAAAATGAGTAAGGCGTTTGGAGATATTATATACCCTGTATTAGTAGTTCCATACTAGCGTTTAGCGAGAGCTAGGTCGTAGCATTAGGAGAGAGTGCAGAGTAGCAGTCGTGATACACGCTCCGCATTTTATGTTAACTGTTCGGATTAGGTTCTGGTCAACAATGCCTAGCCTAATTGCGCTATGTTGCAGGCTACTGTTACAATTATTCATGGGGTCATCATCAGGGTTGTGAGTAGTTTCGGTTTTGGTCTGGGTTTTTAGATTGATACCTAAGCGTGTCGCATAGTAGTCAGACATGCAACTCGAGTAGCATATGCACGGTGGACCTCAAACCCAAAATGATGATACGAATCAGGCTTTACATGCTACGTCCTGTATGGCTAGCGTGGTTGGAATATGGGGAATTTACCTGTAGATAGATAAAGACGTTGTAGCCCTCTGATAGTTGGGACAAGTCTTCTACAATATTATATCGGAATCAATACTAGCCACTCATTAAGCAATCTCATGAATTATTTCCAATGTCTGTGATAACAGACATACATATACAATATCGACAACAAGTTTTAAAGTCGATAATTAACCCAATACTTTATCAAATCTACTTCCAGTAGTCCTATGTCAGTTGTCTAAGAGAATCACATTCTAACAGGTTATGACCCCGGTTTGCCGCAGTGTTGAATAAAGCAAGGCTACTCTCACTCGCAACTACTCGCATCGACTCGTAAAAATTCGCATCTACTCCCATTAACCCGCATCTAATTGTAAACACTCGCATCTTGCGCTGTCCCTAGCATCTATACGCGTTTACTCGCGACTACCCAAATTATCTCTAATTCACTTGAGTCGATTTATTGATTTCCACGTGTTTTTATATATTTCCATTCTCAAAGAAACCAGTCTAGGTAAAATGGCCGATCATTTCTCAGAAAAGGGAACCGGTCTTTGGAAACTGGTACCTGTGTTGACGAAGGCGAACAAAACAGAATGGTATCAACTAGTCGAACAAGTGCTTGAAGGTGATGGAACACAGTGGCTTTTATCACATACCAACAAGACGTACGCGCACTTTAAAGACTCGTCAAGAGAATCCGAATCCGACCAAAATTGGAGATCGTACACTGCCGAAGAAGAGCATAAGTTAGTAAAATGGTGGATCCTTCCGGAAAAAGACCTCGAATATAAAAGGGCCCAAATAAACTTTTGCCTGAATATTAGATTGAAGATCTCTGACACAGACAAAGACATGATGGATGATAAAATAGGGATACCCGCTCAATTTGCTTGTCTCAAAAATCGGCATAGACTGACTACATATAATTCTGGGCACAGTACTATTGTAGCTTTTACCACTTGGGAAATGAATGTTGAACTAATTCCGTCAACAAACTATACACAGCTAAGCAAGCTGAGGAAAGAATTCCATCTATTCTCTCTTGGAACTCAATTCTCGTTGGATTTTACATGGAATTTATTTGTTGCCGGACATTGTTCAAGGCACGAGTATGACCCTGGCTGGACGCTTCCCTCCAACAATGCTAGTCACTGAGCGTCTCGATAGGTTAGATGAGAAGTGGTCCTATTTGCAGGTAGAAGCCTGCGGAAAAGAAAAAGCCTTTCAAGCCAAAATGGCAGTGAGTGGGCTCTACGTAAATAAAGAGAGGACAGCGGATTTTGCTCATACAGCTAAAACAGAAAGTGATATAAGCTGTTTTAAATGTGGCTCAAGTCGCCACACAAGCATTTCATGTCGATATTCTGATATTGGTTTCCAAGCCGCGAGAAGAGCTCGTACACGGAGATAAGGAGAAGAGAGTGATGAAGATACCAAGGTTTACCTTCTACCCAGTAAACACAACAGCAAAGGAAAATCTCGTAATGTTGGATACTCTGTCCCATCTGGGCATAGCAATAGACCTTGCTCTTTAAGTAATTGGAGACATAATCAGACATGCAATGCCCGCGTCTCATCGCCATTTCGCCGCCATGAACAGGTAAAATTTGCGGAAAATGACTTCTTTGACAAGTGCGAGTCCAATGATGAAGAATTCGGTAGCCTTTCATGGGAAAAGCGCAGTAAGATTCCATCCACTACTTGGGACAATGACTCTGGCTGTACATCCCCAATGACTGATAACAAAAATCTTTTCAGTTCACCACTAAAATCTTGTCGAAGGAGGATCCAAGTTGGTGGGGTGTTTATTTATTCAGTTGGGATAGGTACAGCTATGCTGAAGCTAAAAGATGGAAAATATATTTTGTTGGCAAATACACTTTTCTCACCAGAACTATGATGTAATTTACTATCTGTGAAGAAAATGGTTGCAGGAGATAGTTGTCTTGGACAATTTGATTCTAATCAAATGATTTTCATTAATTTACACTCCAAAATTAATCTTGTTGAGGCAGAGTATTATAGAGGACTCTATGTAATCTCAAAAATATCAGATGATGCTAATGGTCAAATATTTGGTAATGATAGAATACTACCTAAGATGATATCAGGTCGGACGTGTGTTATGTATGATAAAACGCCTAGATCATTCGAGGCAATGGATGATATCTCGGCTTTAAATAATGTTGTAATTTATGCAACAGTGGAGTTAAGAGTATACTGCATACCAGCTATATATTCAGCTGGGTGTGGATACTTGCTCTCGAAATCAGATTCCTTATAATATAAATGTATATATATAATTTATTGCGTGTATTATAACTACAACTATTTGTGCTTCTTTTCTTGTTCTTACAATTATCTACATACTTCACAATTACGGAAAGTGTGGAATACTAAGCGAGACACGTGATGCAATTACAGATTTATTGCATGACTTTCAACATCCCCCTTCAGGTGATACCCATACATAGGCATATTAGATCAATGTAAGCGGATCACGCACTATAGGTAGTCATGTTAAGCATTTTCATGAATTACCTGTGTTTGTCGAAGGTCAGTCCTTTTGTCAATCCATCAGCAGCCATCTCTTTGGTGACAATGTACTCCAATTCAACCTCTTTTCGTTCCAATTGTTCACAAATGTAAAAGTATTTCGTGGCAATGCTTGGTCCGGTTGTGGAATACAGGACTTTCAGCTAACTTTAGGCTCCCTTGATTATCTCCGTAAATTTTGATCTCTTTTTGGCGTCTTCTCCTTTATAACCAAGTTGTATTAGCAACTTTTTAGTGTAGGCATCTTGGCAGAGTATAATCTGATCTTTTTTCCAGTCTCTGACAATCCTAACTCCAAGATAATAGGCTGCTGGACCCATACCTTCTGTCTCAAATAGGCCGAGTAGCCGTCTCTTCATCTTGCCAAATTCAACACCTTGTTTTCCTATCAAGAGTATGTTGTTGACATAGGTCACAATGATGAACCCTGTGCTTTCATGTACGAATGTACGTAGACTTCTTTATCTATGTCATTATTAAGAAATGCTGTAATCACATCCATTTGGTCCATCTCGAGACCATGGAGAGCTGCTAACGCTACAGCTACTTTCCATATTTCCGAGCGAGCTACTCCAGCAAACGTCTCCTCATAGTCGACACCATACTTCTGTTCAAAAACTCGAACACAGCATCTGACTTTGTACTTGAGGAATTTGCTTTCCTTATCACGCTTGGTCTTAAATACCAATTTGACTGACAACAGTTGTTGACCAGCTGGTATATCCTTCTTCTGAGCTAAAACCCAAGCTTTCTTTTGTAGAAGAGACTCATATTCTTGGCGAATTGCAAGCCGCAATTTGTTGGCGTTCTTACTTGTCTAGGCTTCTTCAATAGTCCCAGGGTCGTCGAATATATCCCTCCCTGCAATGAAAGCGGCTGCCGCAGACGAACTGTCGTTGGTTAGTTCTGATTTTAATTGAGCCGCTCGGGATTGTGTCATTCGAGGCTCATTGGGCGCCTCATACACTCTGGTTTTTCGAGACTTGTCTTGACAAGTCGTTTTCTCTTCTTGGGAACACTCGTTAGCTTTAAACATTGAGCCTATGTGAGTCGCGTTCGTTTGCATAGGCATTTCAACGGTTTCCTCTCTTCTCTGGATGAGTTATGACCCATCTCATATTGGTGGCCAAGTCAGTTAAAGGTGGTGGCAGACTTTTGATTCATGATACCTTCAGGGATTACTTTTATCTCATCAATACCCACTGCATCAAAGATTTTCTTAGGCTTGGCTCTAGCCTCTTTGCTGACATGACAAATTGGCTTACCAAAGTTACATGCCTCGCATAACTCACTAGGAC